ATCATCAAGATTGCATCAAGAAACATCTATGTGTGAAGCGCTACACTACCTACTAGTATGAGTGTGAAAATCACAAGTTTGGAGAGCCCAAATCATCCAGATTGCCTCAAGAAGCATCCATATGTGAAGCGCTACACTACCTACTAGTGTGAGTGTTAAAATCACAAGTTTGGAGCTCCCAAATCATCTAGATTGCATCAAGAAGCATCTATATGTGAGGCGCTACACTACCTACTAGTATGAGTGTGGAAATCATAAGTTCGGAGTTCCCAAATCATCAAGATTGCATCAAGAAGCATCTAGGAAAGAATCGGAGTACTACCTCCCAGTGCATAAGTGAAAGAGAAGAGTTTGAGTAGCCCATGGAAGAGAGAAGGTGAAGTAAGAGAAGATGGAGGAGAAGGGGAGAGAGATGAGGAAGATGGAGATGGAGAAAAAGGGGAGGAAGGGAAAGAGAATGAAAGTAAGGAGGAGGAAGGAGGAGGTGAGGAGGGGAGAGAAGAGGAGGAAGAAGGAGGGAGTGAGGAAGGAGAAGGGGAAGAAGAAGGAGGAGAGGAAGGAGAAGAGGAGGGAGAAGAAGAAGAAGAAGAAGAAGAAGAAGAAGAAGAAGAAGAAGGAGAAGAAGATGAAGGTGAAGAAGTCTCTTTCTTCCTCTCACATTGTTGATTCCTTGATGTTGGTGTCCTCTTGATTAAGCTTCTCCTTCTTGCACATTCCCCTCTTGGCTATGACTTCCTTCTTCTTCAAGCCCTTCTCTCCTTCTCCCTTGCTTTCTCTCAGGCTATGGCAAACTCCCCAAGCTATGGCTATGAAGTCCTCCCCTCTAGGAGGGCTAATGGGGCTCCTCTAGCTTCTCCTTCTCTCCTACACCCAGGCGGGATATGGCGGATCACCTCCCAAATGTCTCTTGTACCATCACTATCCTCTAGAGTCCTCTCCACTACCTCCTAGTCTCCTCTAAACTCTCCCACTAGCATAGGCTCCTCCCCTCTCACTCCAAGTGCAAAGGTGCTCCTGTGAGCTCACTTGGGCAACATGGGCACTCCTCATGCAAATGTGAGAGTAGCGAACTGCATCCTCAGCTTATGTAGGATGAAACCAGCAGTCCGGCCAGCCCATGAGCCTCCCCATGAGCCTTGAGGTGAACCGAGGTACCCCCAAGGCAAAATTCCCTCACTAGGCCCTCCTGGATGTACCTGGGCCTCATTTTGGCCAAGTACATGTAGTCCAAGTGGTTGGTACCAACTCGGACGACCTCTTGGCTTACCCAAGCCTCTTTTTCATTGCTCAAATGCTGCCCCCTAGGGTCCTAATGCCCAAGGGGCAGCAATACTCGAAAGAAAAAGACCTTGTAGACCTTTTTCTCGATTTTTTCAAGTTGCGGCCTCTTTTGAGTAGGCCGGAGCATTTTTTCATATGGCGGCACATTTCCAGCCTTGGATCTGGCAAAGATCCAAGGCCAACAATAATCCGAGCTACCCCCTAGTAGCCCCCTTGCTTCAATTTTGAGCCCCTAAGTCCAGTTTTTCAATTTTTGGTGCATCTGGCTCTCTTTTTGGGCCAAATGCACTGTTTTGTCATTTTCTCTCTTTTGTTTCTTTCCATTTTGGGCTGCCACCTCATTCCGAAGCTAGCCATTTTGACCTGGCCCACAAAAAACGGCTAGTTCCTCTCTACCATGAGATCTGATCTCAGATTCATGGTCCGAAAGAAAACTGGCCACTTTCTTTTTGCATTTTCTCTCATTTTCAACTTTTTAATTCAGATTTTATTGTGATATGGCCCTAAGGGCCATATCTCTGCAATCCAGATTGCCCTCCCTCATTCTAGGAGGGATGTGGTCACTGTTGGGGCCTGGCAGTCCCTACTGTGCAAGTCCCAATAGGCCGACTCATTCTCCTCCACTATTTTCTCCCCTTTTGTTTCATTCTCCCTTTTTTTTCTCTCATTTTTCTTTCATTTTCTTTTATTTCTGTTGTGACAAGTGTCAAACTGCTGTGCATCCTCTTTCTAGGCCCTAGGGCCTCATTCAAGGTCAGGTTCATGGCTGTTATATGGCTGTTATATCTCGGATTCCAATAATGGCACCCCCATGCTCCTAGGGGGCTCCATTTTCCTCCCGTTTGCCCAATCCTGAGCCCCTTTTGCTCTGACTTTCTAAGGGCAGCCTTTTTCTCATGTTGGGCCTCTCAAGGCTCTCTTTTCTTATGCCTTGCTAGTCCGAGATATCCCGGACTGCCGGGCAGCCTTCCCAACACCCTTATTCCACTTTTCTTTCTCCCATGGCTCCCTTACTTGCTCAAACTAGTGCTTGCACTAGTGGTGCTAATATTCTCCACCGTTTAGATCCTTGATCTCGACGGTGCCGCTCGCTTGCACAATTATTCCTTGTGTTTGCTCATGGTTCCCTTGGGACATCCCAAGTCCCCGCCATTTTCCTACATGCTATCTCCACATCCTGTTCCCGCCAGCGGTCCCGCCGGCGTGTGTCCCGTTTTTCCAATTTTTATTATTTTGACCCATTTGGTCCCCGACAACATTCCGGACAGCGTCCCATTTTTATTTTTGGGTCTCCTTACCGTTGGTGGTCCCATCATCTCTACATGTGTGCTGATTTTTCTAGGCCGTCAGATCTCATCTCACGGTTGCCGTTTACCGTTTTTACTTGGCCCTTGCCGAAATTGCTCCTTTCTAGCCTTCCGGGTTTGCCGTAGCCCATTTCCCCTTGGCCTTGGCATCCCCATGCAGTCCGTAATTTCTCAGACTGCAGTCATGGCTGTTTTCCATACCCACAGCCCCACAACTTGCCCCATGTTGAAAAAAAATGATGCGTTAAATTTTCTAGTGCATCCGGGTTCAATATTGGCTACGGATGCACCTAGAACATGTGTTTTCTCTCTCCTAGGCAGTCCGTTGCAACTCGGACTGCAATGGGGGTCAATTCCTTAGCCCCACTGCCCCACAACTAGCCCTTACTCAAAAGAAAAAGAAACGGCCAACTCCCAAGTGCATCCGACCTTGATTTTGGCTTCATGTGCACCTAAAACATGTGTTTCTCCTCATGTATATATTCCGTTTTATTCAGGTTGCAAGAGGCCTTGATTTTCTTTGATTTTCTCTGCAAAAATAAAAAAAAATCTAAGTCTTTTGTAACCGCCATATTCCAGAATGAATCTGGTCACGGATGAATCTCCCCAAGTGACCGTTTTTTATCGTTAAAGCCTTTTTCTCTTTTCTTTTCTTTTCTTTTTTTTTCCTCTCCCTTTCTTGGACAGTAGGGACCTGTTAGTCCCTACCTATGGCAGTCCCTACTGATGGCCAACTCACTTACTCCCTCTCACTATTTTTGTCTTATTCTCCCACATTTTCTTTTATTTTCTCTCTGTTTTCTAGCATGCCAAGTGTCAAGTGGTCGTTAAGGCCCTTTCTAGCCTCTTCCTCTTAGTTTTGGCCCTCCCTATGCCCAAGGTGCAGTCCGTTATTTCTCAGACTGCAATAATGGCCTTCCCATGCCCATGGGAGTCTCCTTTGACTTCTACATTTCTCCCACAATGGTCCCTCCTACTCCGATTTTCTCCCGGATTGCTATTTTTCACATGGGGTCTCATTTGACTCTATTTTCTTGAGGGAGGATGATCCGAGATTTTTCGGATTGCTCCCATGCCTCCTACTTCAGTTTTCTTTACTTTTCCTTTCCCTTTTGGCCTTCCCGTTTGTCACCACTTGTACTTGCACTAGTGGTGCTAATATTCTTGGCCGTCAAGATGTCGATCTTGACGGTGCACCTTGCATTTATTATTTTTCCCTCATGCGGTGCCATCGTTTCTTCTTGGGACGTTCACATGTCCCCGCTTCTTGTCCCGTTGGTGGTCCCCGACACTTTAGTCCCGTCGGTGGTCCCCGACACTTAGTCCCGTTGGCGGTCCCCAACACTTAGTCCCGTCGGCGGTCCCTGACACTTAGTCCCGTTGGCGGTCCCCGACACATTTCGCCCCGGACGCCATTATTTTTACTTAGTCCCACGTGGCCCCGGGTGCCTTTCCCCGAGGTGTCCCATGCCCCTTGGGCGTCTTGTCGCCCCATAACGACCCCTCTCCTTAGTCTTTCCTCGCGCCTTGTGCGTGCCGATCTCTTTGGTCACGGGCCTCCACTCCGAGGCTCCCATAGGTGGCCCCTACGTTGGACCCTTATTTCCTGACTTCCCGCGGCTTCTGGCCGCCCATTCCTCGACTTCCTCATTCCCTTATTGTTGTCGCGCTGCAATTGCTAGTTCAAAGGGCCCTTTGACCTTAGTCTCATTGCATTCCGATGACCCTCCCGGCCTCCTGCTATGTTTTATGTGCCCCTGTTCTTGCGCTCGCTTGCTTGCCGCTGTAGTTCTTTCCTCCTGTGGTTCTGTCCTCAGGGCATCACTCCCTTCTGTGGCCTAATGTCTTTTCTCTCTCCTGCTTCCTTACTCCAGATTTCTTTGTTGTGCGCAAATTGTCCGTATTTAATCTCTCAAGTGACGGGAAGTTATTCGGGACCCACCAGTCCCGACAACGTCTCCCGGGAAAATCGTCATGTTCCGCTGGCATGTAAAGAGTCAACTTGGAGTAATGAAAGACTAGGTAGACGGGCAAGTGGGCGGGCACCTGAATAGTGAAGGAACGTCCCTCGGGTGCAGCCCTAGCGGGTGCCACGATCGGCCAAGGCCCCATCCATTTCGGGAGGAGCTTGCAAGAGATATCTTGTTCAAGGCTGAATTCCGTGGCGGAGACCCAAACGAGATCGCCGACACGGAATGGATAAGGAAGATGCTAGTGATTGGTCTGTTGGTTCATGCCTTGCTGTATCTTGGTCATCTGGTCACGTGCCTTGACAAGTAGCTCTTGCATCCGACGCAAGAAAATAAAATGGTTGTCGCTCTCGGCCGTTCGTGGAGTGATGGTGTCCAACGACGAAGTGACCGGCGAGCCGTGCTCGAACTCGAAGGGCGACATCCTGATAGTCGGGTGGATGGAGGAGTTGTAGGCCAACTCGACATCCGACAGCCGCTCAACCCAATCGTTCTGGTCATGACGGATGAGAGTGCGAAGGAGAACCTGTGCGGTCTGGTGCGCCCTCTCCATTTGGCCATCAGTCTGGGGGTGGCGAGCTGAACTGGGCTTGAGAGATGAGCCCCATCGCTTGATGAGCGCGAACCAAAAATCGGACATGAACCAAGTGTCGCGGTCGCAAACGATTTCCTTGGGGTAATCCTTGGATCGAATCCATCCGGCGTAAAGAACCTTGGCCAACTCCGGTGCCTTGGCGTGATAGCGGCAAGGCAAAAACATGGCGAACTTTGTGAGTCGGTCGACCACCGTGAGAATCCCATCCACGCCGGTCTTGTGCTTGGGGAACGGGCCGGTAATGTCCATGGCAATCGCTTCCCTTCGCCTCAAAGGAACCGGTAATGGTCGTAACTCACCGTACGAACGATGGTTGCGGGATTTGCAGAGTCGGCAAACCTCACATGACTCGCAATAACGTGTGACGTCGCCGGGAAGGCCGGACCACCAAAATCGCTCACGAAGTCGGCCAATCGTGCGATTGACTCCAAAGTGATCGATGGAGGGAGCATCGTGGAACTCGCGAAGAAGCCGTGTACGCAAGTGAGGATCACTCGGTACGCAAAGAAGGTCATTCCCCCGTGTGTGGACAAGCAAGTACCCCTCTTGGATCCGGTAATGAGAAGGCGCCGGATTAGGAGAGCAGCAATTCGCGTATTTGTCGGGAAACTCGGGGTCGGCTTGGTAGCCTCGGATGAAGTTGTTCTGCAGGTTGTCGTCGATCTCAAAGGTTGAGTAGACGGCTGTACAATGATCCGGACGTCGTGAAAGAGCATTCGCAAAACGGTTCGACTTCTCGGGAATGTGATCGGGAAAGAAGTCGAACTGGTCGATGAAAGCCATCCATCAAGCGATGGTGTTGTTGACGGTGTCTTGGGTCTTATAGAAGACCAACGGTCCGGGATTGTCCTCCGTTACCCATCGGCATTGGCTTCGGCCAAGGAGGAAGTGCCGCCACCGCTTGAGCGCGTGGACGAAGGCGAGGAGCTCCTTCTTGAGTGCATCGTCAATGGAATGCACGACGGGCACTTTCTTGCTGAAATACTCGAACGGGTGCCAGTCCACACCATCATGTTGCTCGAGGACGACACCAATGCCGTAGCCGGACGCATCCGTAGTGACGCGCGTAGGCAAAAGAGGGTCGTATATGCGCAAGACCTCCGCAGATAATAGCGCAACTTTGAGAGCCAAAAATGATTCTCGCGCCTCCTCTGCGAAGTCAAACGGTCGATCCTCACATTGAAGCTTGGTCAAGTGGGCCGCGATCTTCGAGTAGCCTTTGATGGAACGCTGATAGTAGCCGGCGAGGCCAAGAAACGAACGGACATCCGTGACGTTCCGAGGCTCCGGCCACTCTTGGATGGCTTGAATCTTGTCCGATAGCGAACTGATGCCCTCTGGTGTGACAAAATGGCCCAAGTGTTCCAACTCTTGCCGGATAAATTTGCACTTGTCGCGGTTGGCCTTGTACTTGGCGTGGCGGAGCATCTCCAACACTCGTCGAAGATGCCCAAGATGATCCTCCAATGTCCGACTATAGATGAGAATATCGTCTAAGTAGACCAGCACGAACCGTTCCAACATTGCATGAAACTCGTTGGTCATTGCCGCTTGAAAGGTCGTCGGGGTGTTGGTGAGGCCAAAAGGCATGACCACCCACTCAAAATGTTCGTCCCGCGTCTTGAACGTGAATTTATAGCGATCGTTCGACCAGATCGAGATTTGATGATATCCCAACTTTAAATCCAACTTAGAAAAATACTTTGCGCCACCCAATCGCTCAAGAAGATCGTCGATGCGAGGAAGAGGCCCCGCATTCTTGACGGTTTGTGCATTGAGCTTGCGGTAGTCGATACACAATCGTAGATCCTTGTTCGTCTTCTGGATGAAGAGAACTGGTACTGCATATGGGGAGCTACTAGGGCGGATCCAGCCCTTGGCCAACAAGTCGTCGAGTTGTGCGCGGAGGACGTCAAGCTCCTCCTCGCTCATCCGATAGATGCAACCTTTCGGCGGCACGGCACCGGCTTCAAGAATGATCTCGTGAGAGATCGGCCGATCCGGCATCACACTGGTAGGTGACTCGAAGATGTCGACGAACTCGTCCAGCAACCGCACCACCCGGGGGTCGGAAGACAAGTCCATGGGTGAAGAGTCGGCTACCGCAACGGTCCGTAGGAAATATAGGCCGATTTCCTCGGGCTGCTCATCAGCGCAAGTCGCCCGAAATGATTTGGCCGTCACCACTTGGCACCGAATCGAAGGGTGCGGAAGAGGAATAGTACACCCCACTTCGGCTCCGAAGGCATCGCGAACGCTAAGAGTCCGCTGGTGGAAGTTGACCGTGTGATCCACACTTGCAAGCCAAGGCATGCCCAAAATGATATCGAAGTCCGTGTCCAAAATGTCGAACGTCACCGGTTCGCATGCATGAGGTGCGAAATATACCGGTACGGCTTCGATGTAACACTCGAGGAGTTGCTGCGTCTTTCTATCCGCCAACTTGATCACCGTCGGGTTTGCCTTCCTTCGAACTTGTGCGCCAAGGCCAGCCCTTTGCAGAAAGGCTTGGCTCATGAAATTGCGACACACACCGCTATCCAGGAAAGCGCTGCAGGACGCTTGCCCAACCTGGATGCGGACATACATGAGCGGTGCATTGTTGTCATCGTACCGCTGCGTGCGAAACTCGCGGGCCACCTTGGTAACATACGCAAGGATGTCCCCCACCACGACTTCGTCATCTGTCGGCGAAGTTGGTGGTGAATAGAAGGATAAGTACGTGTGGAGATGAGCGCATAGTGCTGCGCATTGCGGTCCCGGCAGGTGGCCCGCGGTCGGGAGAGGAAGCCATGCAAAGTCCTCGGACGTGAGCGGGTCCAATACCTCTATGTTGAACTCGCGCGCCGAATCCCGTGAAGAACCACTTGAAGACGATAAGTCGCCGCTGCCGGACGGAGAAGATGGCGTACACACGTCTTGTCCTTGAGCTTGAGTACCCAACGTAGGAACAAGTCGGGCAGCATAGTCCTCAAAAGAATAAAGAAGAGGAGGACTATTGACTTCCGCATGTGCCTTGGAACGAAGGGCAGTCCCCGCGAAGCGACCGGTTCCGAAGGCGTCGAGAGTGTCGCCGAGTCACTCCCAGCGGTGCTCAGTTTCCTGATTTGCCCTTGCTTCTTGACGGGCAGGCCACTGTCTCATGGAGATCGCTGTTGCACCATAGGCAATAGTGAAATCTTGTGCGTTCTTTGAATGCTTGCTCGGAGATACCTTATTGGGACCATGGGGCTGAAGCTGCTGCGCCGGGCTTGGGGCTAGATGCGGTGTTTGTCTTCGCCTTGCCGCGTCCTCGGCCTTTGCCGGGGCGGCCACCTTCCCGGGCGATTGCGAGTCTGTCCCCTTTATTGGCAGACACGACCTCGCTAGTTTGGTCAAACGGTGTTGTCGTCGCGACCACGGCCACTCTTGCTCGATGTTGGTCGATGCTCGGGCCTTGCGCAGACGAACGCAGGTTCTTAGCCTCCTTGTTCGTGATGATAATCTGCGCGGCCTTGTCAAAGAGTTCCGCCGTTGTCGTCAAGGTGTCATCGACGTGAGTCAGGGCATTGCTTAATGTCGGACACGACCTTGAGATGAAACAGTGGTGGATGGCTTTGAAGCCCATCTGGATGTCTGGGATGGATGTCAAGTCTTGGTACTCGGCAATCCAGTCAACACTCGACAACGTGCCTTGTTCGAAGACCATTAGCTTGTCAATTGCCTTGATCTCCGGCGGCTCTACTTGGAACCACTTATGCCACGCCGCCTTCAGATCATCACAATTGATCTTATGTAAGTCGCAACCTACCACTCCGTAATTGGACAAAAGATTGTCCAACCATGCCTGGCACGCGCCCCCCGACCGGGAGTATAAGTACGCGTGGTGCTTGTGTTCTTTGACGTAGTGTAGCTGCAGAGTGAGCTGGAACTTGTGGAACCATGGAATCGGATCTATCTTTGTCGAGTCGCAGAAGATCTCCTGCCCGTCAAACTTTGAAGCTGTCTCTCACGGTTCCGAACTCGAGTTGTTGGCGGTAGTAAAGATCCGCTGCTCCAACTGTTGCGTTGTGGTCTGCTGTAACTGCACGCCGTCCTTGAGGGAGCCGACGTCCATCTCCAATGCTTCGAGGCGATCGGAGGTGTTGGAAGAGCTGGTATCGGGGGCGGCGACAGGTCGCTCCTCCAGCGGCCGTAGGCGGCCGTGGACTTGAGTCAGCGCGTCGTCGAGGCTGTGGATGTCCTCCTGCTGTGTAATGCATGTTGCCAGGAGGTCCATGAGATGGGAGAGGAGTAGAGAGATCTTGTTTTCACTATCCTCCATCTTGCCATTCTCAGCCTCGGCCCACCAATCCGCTGCCATTGTGAGCAAAGTTTGCTCTCCGCTAAATATCTTCTCCCGCCGTTGAACTTGTTCTTCATCAGCAGCCTTTGTTGCTGCCTTGTCGTCCTGGTGCTACTGTTCAATTGCCAGCAGACGTGCCTGCTCCGCGTCCTCTGCCTTCTTCTTCGCTGCTGTTGCTGGTCATCCGCCCGTCTCTTGGTTTCAGTACTCCAGGCCAGCATCCGGGCCTGATAGGCCTTGTCTGTTTCCCCAGACCTCTGGTCCATGATGGCTGTTTGTGAACGCAACAACATAGACCAGGCCGGGGGCCTGCTGACGTGGTACTCCCTGCTGCTGACGTGGCACTGTTGTCGGCTGACATGGTCTGCTGACGTGTTCTGTTGACGTGGTTTGCTGACGTGGCTTGCTTACGTGGTCTGCTGACGTGGCCTGCTGACGTGGTCTGCTGACGTGGCAACTCACCAATGCCGCCGCAGGGGGTACCCGGAGAGAAGGTAAGGCGAGAGGGGGCAACAACATAGGTGGGGAGGGTGGGTGGGAAAAATCGCCCAGATAAGGAGCCACTAATAAAAAAAAAAAATTTGGATTTTGCAAAAAAACATTCGAGACAGTAGAAATCCCGAGTTTTGCAAGTTCAGTAGGTCTCCCAATCTCCCTTGAAGTGCCAAAGTATTAATGAGAAAAACAAAAATAAAAAAAAATTGAACTTCAGACTGCCAATGATGATCAGATAGTGAAAATCATAGAACTGGAAAAAAAAAAAAAATCTGAAAAGAAATAACAAGTATTCGGATTTACTCAGATGAGAGTATTTGCAGTTTGGAAAATGGTAATGCAAGAGGGATTTTCCGTACCGTTTTCAGAAAAAACGTATTTCATAACAGTATTCCGAGTTTCCAAATAACGGGAAATGCAACACGAAATCGAAATTTTCAAGATGAAGATATTCCGAATTTCCAACAACGAAATTTCGGATTTAAAAAAAAAAACGAAACGAAAATTTCAGGTGCTCCGCTATTGCGATTTTCCACAACAGAAATAGCGAGAAAACGAAATCCAAGAAAAGACTAAATTTTTGATTTTCGGCAGTAAGGTCAAAATCATGATTTTGGGGGCTAACTAGTGTGCTCTAATCAATCAATCAAGACTAATCAGCTACCTAGTCCTCGTACATGTGTCGGATCTGGTTGTCCTGATTCATGTGCGGCGTTCCGATACCAACTGTTACATGCCTAGTAGGGCGATGTACATACAAAACCGAGGATCCGCAATATGATGAAAAAGACTGAATGGACAACATAGTGCAAGTAGAATCTCAACAAGCAATGTGCATTCTGATACATACAAAATGGTGCTTTATAGCGCAGGGAAGATTTAAATACAAATCCTGACCTGACCGGGACTGACCCCTTTCACGTAGTACAAGATAGCGAAGCAGAATGCTAGAATACTAATGACTAGCCAATCAATGTTTCAATGCAGACCAAACATACATCATGCTCATCACAAGGTGTGAAGGAGCCTGGCGCTATACACAAGAAGGAAGCCCCAGGTCTAGACATACTGTTACATGTTGCGCCTGCATACGAGGGTCATTTTCCACGCCCTGCGTCCCTCAGGCTGAAAGCCTGAAAACCAGGGCCTACAGGCCCCGTGTTTGTTCAGCCCGAAAGCCTTGAAAACAGGGGCCTACAGACCCTGTGTCGTTTCAGACTAAAAATGGCAATAGCCTTTTTAGCCTGAAACAAAGGGTCATTTTCAGTCGTTCATCAGAACGACTGGCCTTGAAACTCAGACACCGAACCAGGGTTTTGGGAACAGGCTATTCTTAGCCTGTTCCCATGACAACCTCAACAGATGCCGCAGCGCCAGCCCCTGGCACACTTCGGCATTGGCAAGAGCAGCCTCCTTGGCCTGGCTTGCCTTGCAGGCAGTCAGGAGGCAGCCTGAGGTAGTACATAGGGACTTCCCATGCACTTCACGGGTAGGCAGAAGGCAGTCAGTAGTCTTCAGGATTCGGCAGCAACACTCTGGAGGGAGCGCTGCCAGGAGTTGTAGTAGCGCTGGGCGCCAGTAGGTAGTTGTAGTCTTCAGTGTTGGCGCCATAGCTAGGATAGCACTAGAGAGAGAGAGATTGGGCGGAGGCCAGGAGTACCTACCTGCAGCGCCGTTGCTCCAGCTTCGTCTTCGAGGTACCTGCAGCACGGCGCCAGCATCACAGGTTAGTATCTGGCTCGTGAAAGAGAGAGAGTTGTTCTTCTTCGTCTTCTCAGTCCACCATCTCCCTCTCACCCTCTCATTACCTGACTTCACTGCATTAGCAGACTACGAGAGGAAGAGAGAGAGAGAGTTTGGTGACATTAGATCCAGACTCGACCTTTGGGCTTCAGACATTACAACGAGGGATTATTTGGGACTTGTGACAAAGACTTGGTGTTGAAGACATTCCCATCTCTCCCCCTCTTCGTCTGATCCCCTCCTCTTCGTCTGTGTATGTCTGGACCTGGCGCTTTCTTCCTATGTACAACGCCAGGCTCCTTCACACCTTGTGATGGACATGATGTATGTTTGGTCTGCGTTCAAACATTGATTGGGCTAGTCATTAGCATCCTAGCATCTACTTCGCTATCTTATACTACGTGAATGAGGTCAGTCCCGGTCAGGTCAGGATTTGTATCTAAGTCTTCCCTGCGCTATTCAGCACCACTTTGTATGTATTAGAATGCACATTGCTTGTTGAGATTCTACTTGCACTGCATTGTCCATTCAGTCATTTTCATCACATTGCGGATCCTCGGTTATTATGTACATCGCCTATCTGGGCATGTAACACATACACAGACGAAGAGGGGGGGATCAGACGAAGAAGAGGGGGAGAGATGGGAATGTTGTCAGCACCATGTCATTGCCCAAATAATCCCTTGTCGAAATGTCTGAAGCCCAAACGTCGAGTCTGGATCCAATGTCACCAAGCTCTCTCTATCTCTTTCTCTCGTAGTCTGCTGATGCAGTGAAGTCGGATAATGAGAGGGTGAGAGGGAGATGGTGGATTGAGAAGAGGAAGAAGAAGAACCCTCTCTCTCGCGCGAGCCAGGTAGTAACATGTGAAGTTGGCGCTGTGATGCAGGTACCTCGAAGACGAAGCTGGAGCAACGGCGCTGCAGGTAAGTATCCCTGTCCTCCGCCCAGTCTCTCTCTCTCTCTAGTACTACTCTAGCTATGGTGCCCAGTGCTGAAGACTACACCTAACGCTACGAGCGCCCAGCGCTGAAGACTACTGCTAACGCTACCACTACTCCTGCAACGCTCCTCCCGAGTGCTGCTGCCGAATCCTGAAGACTGCTGACTGCCTCCTATCTGCCCATGAAGTGCATGGGAAGTCCCTATGTACTACCTCGGCCTGCCTCCTGATTGCCTCCGACTGCCTGCAGTTGCAGGGCTGGCAGTCCAGGAGGCTGCTCTTGCCAATGCCGAACTGAGCCAGGGGCTGGCACTGCAGCTGTCGTGGGAACAGGCCAAAAATAGCCTGTTCCCAAAACCCGGGTTCGGTGCTTGAGTTTCAGGGCAGGTCGGTCTGATGACAGACCGAAAATGGCTCTTTGTTTGAGGATAAAAAGGCTACCGCCATTTTTATTCTGAAACGACACAGGGTCTGTAGGCCCATGTTTTTCAGGCTTTCGAGCTGAACGGACACGGGGCCTGTAGGCCCTGGTTTTCAGGCTTTCAGCCTGAGGGACGCAGGGCCTGGAAAATGGTCCTCGTGTGCAGGCGCAGCATGTAACACTCTCTCTCTCTCTCTCTCTCTCTCTCTCTCTCTCTCTCTCTCTCTCTCTCTCTCTCCTTTGCCTGCATGCAGGAGAGAGAGAGAGAAAGAGAGGGAGAGAAGTGCATGTGTGTTTGTGCATGTGTGTGTGTGTGTGTGTGTGTGTGTGTGTGTGTGTATATGTGTGTGTGTGTGTGTGTGTGTGTGTGTGTGTGTGTGTGTGAGAGAGAGAGAGAGAGAGAGAGAGAGA